CACGAGTCAATAATGATAGCTATTATTCCCGAGGATTATTACGAACTGAGCCGCGTTAGCGGCGAGGGAGTAACATTCCGAGGGAATAATAGCCATTATTGCGAGTAGTATACTCTACTTTATTTACGACAAATTAATTTATTTGAGATTTTCAATGAACAAATTTCATCCGTCTCATAATTTTCAATACAAATCCACAAGCACTACACGTTTGACACTGACACTTTTGTGGAATAATGACCATTAATCCCGCTACTCGTCATTAGTTGTATTCCTTTCACACCTAGGAGGGGCTTCACGCCCCTATTCCTTTCGAAAAGTGTTTGTTGCACCACGCATTTGTTCCCTGCAAATTGGGGGCTCCTGAACACCGGAGCGAGTAGCTCGAGTGTTTCAAACTCTTGAAAGGAATACAACTAATCCCTGGAGGAATAACATATGTCATTATACTGCCAAAATCACAAATATAATACGCACATTATACATTAGTCGTAAATAAAATTCATATAATAGGACAAGAGCTAATGTGATGCTGTCCCAGTTACTTTTGGTGACGATGGTACATCAGGGATGCTATTTCTAGTACTGTACTAGATCTAGCACAATCATGTATCACCTAGTACGCTAGTACCAATTTCATAAATCTAGTACAATTTGGGTTACGAGTCGAGTGTCGCTCTTCGCTCTGTACCGTACCTGAGTTCTAAGCTCCACTCTCTACTTGTGGGTTGGGTTCCACGTTCCAGGTTCCACTACGGTGCAGCTAAAGCCAAACAAGAAATTGGCGTTTTGAATATGGTTTCGAACGCACACGCACTTTTTTATTCTGTTACTTGACATGTGTCATGTATCGGTGGTTATTCAGTTATTCAGCCGATCATGGTAATCGGTAGTCGATTTATAACTAAATATGTAGAAATTTGTTTATTTCTATCTTTCAGGGCCGGTTTCTCAATAGCGAGTCACCCCCGGGTTAAGGATAACTCTAGGTAAACATTGCAACTGGACCCGTTTACCCTGGAGTTAAAACCAACCCGCAGGTGACTCGCTTTTGAGAAACCGACCTTAAAACAAGTGATATTTACCCCCATTTAGCAGAGCCTACATTTGTATTCAAATTTTAAAATTTGGCGTGCTTTCAGCTAGTATACAATGTCGCCAATCTAGTACAATTATTCCCTACTTTTTGGTATATTTTTTTTAGTGCTGATACCATCCCTGACGTACATACCCTAATGGCGCTTCCGATTGGTAGATCTAGAGCGGAACTAGTGCAATTTTTTCTATTTCTGTCTTTTTCTTCTACAGGTTGATTAAAAGGATGCAAATACACTCAGTGCGCAAATCTACAAATCGGAAACGCCATAACTGACGTTTGTTTTATTTTAGGCGCGACTGTCAACTGCAATGAACTATGACCAAAAACTGGAATGCTAACACATAAGGACGAACTTGAAGCCTAGTGCGGCTGCTGCGGAGGGGATACCTGTTTTTGTCGCACTCATTATGTTAAATGGCGAAAATTGCTTCCAACCAGTGGCGGCTCGTGGTGTCCAAGTAAGGGTGGGCGACAAAAATAAAAAACGGCCGTAGGCGAACTTTTTTTAGATTTTTAAGGTCGCGGCCTTTCCAAATATTGTATTAAAAGCATTTTTTATTTTTCCATTTTTTCTCCAGGGTGGCGGTGCCCACCTTGCCCATATGGACGAACCGCCACTGCTTCCAACACGTATTCCAATTGATGAAACCTGTGAAGGGAAATATGACAAAACTTTCGAAAACGTCATATGTCAGCGAGCAACAGAAAAAAACAACATTCCCCTTGTGGCATCTGTCTTTCATGGCTTAATTTTTTTGGCAGATATGGCATTGTGTGCGCATTCCAGTTTTTAGCTATAGTTCATTGGTCAACTGTTTAGATTGTTACAGTCAACAAATGAACTATGCGCACGAGCCAAGAATTGACCTTTTGTTTGGACTCCATATTTCGGTGCGCGAACATAGTAGCCAAAAGAAGAAAACAAAAATTACTAGCGGGCTGTCAACATCAAAAATAAAAGTAACTAAATGATTGATCCTCGCTATGTTTTCTGTTTGTTTACTTTCTCTTTCTGATTGATGAAAGTAAATAGGTACATATTTTATTATTTCTATTCTGCTCAATACAAGCTAAAATTGATGGCTTTTCTTTTCAAAAATATTCGTAATAGACCTCAAATTTAAATTTTAAATGTAATTTATTCAGTAACTTTTGTTTTTAATGTTGACAGTACGCTAGTAATTTTTTTTTTCTACTTTTGGCAACTATGTTCGCGCACCGCAAAATGGCGTCCAAACAAAAGGTCAATTAAAGGTCAATTATCTTAAAATTTCCGATATATCGAAAAGATTTTTTTCGATATATCGAATGTAAAATATCGATTAAAATATATCGATATATTTTTGCCATCCCTAGTTGTGCGCATATCCATACAGTGGTGGTGCCCGATGGGTCCGAACCAAGAATGGTCCGAACTGTTATTTTGGCATAACAGTTGTAACTGTTACTACTATTTTCAAATAACAGTTTAAAATAACAGATTGCTGCTATTATGTATCTCCAACTTTTTCCTGATAGATGGCAACACTCACTCTATATATTTACAGTGACTCTATAACCCACAGTGGCGACAATTGCTGTCTCATTTTTGATTGGTTCTAAAATCCCATATATTTATATTGAAAACACCGCCATCTTGTTCCCAACCCCTTGTTACTTTTTAATATGAATATATGGGATTTAGGTGAACATCCATCATAAATCATGGAAAATAACGTATTTGATGGACCTAATAATGGTCATCAAATACGTCGATTTCAATTTTTTATGATAGATGTCCATTTGAATCCTATATATTAATATTTAAAAGTAACAAGAGGTTGGGAACAAGATGGCGGCGAGACCTCTATTGTCGCCACTGTATGTAAAGGTTTATTTAGCCACTGTATATATATTTACAGTGGCTAAATAAACCTCTACATACAGTGGCGACAATAGAGGTCCCGCCGCCATCTTGTTCCCAACCTCTTGTTACTTTTAAATATTGATATAGGTATAAGATTTAAATGGACATCTATCATAAAAAATTGAAATCGACATATTTGATGACCATTATTAGGTCTATCAAATACGTTGTTTTCCCTGTTTTATGATGGATGTTCACCTAAATCCCATATATTCATATTTAAAAGGAACAAGAGGTTGGGAACAAGATGGCGGCGTTTTCAATATAAATATATGGGATTTTAGAACCAATCAAAAATAAGACAGCAATTTTCGCCACTGTGGGTAATAGAGTCACTGTATATACAGGGTGTCCCACGGTGGATGGCGTATTAGACGTTTATGGAGAACTGAAAAGCCGATCTTTTTGAAAATTTGGCAACCAGGATAAAAGGCCATAATCTACACTTAAAAAATATTTATGTTTATGCGGTGTTGCCGCTTCTACTCTAAACCAATTCTGAACAGATTTCATGTGGTATACCCTATACCCAATCTCAACTGTTTTGGAAATATTGACAGTTCAAAATTGACTTTTTGCAACTTTGACAGGCTGTAGAACCTGAACGGTTAATTTTAGAGGAAAACCGATTTTACATTCCTTTCTTAGATTTTTATAAACTATCATTTGACACCATCTTTGAATTAAATCCATGATTAAAAATTTCAGTTGAATTTAATCTCTGGTTAAGTTCAAAGTTGGTGTCAAATGATAGTTTATCAAAATCTAAGATAGGAATGTGAAATCGGTTTTCCTCTAAAATTAACCAATTAGGTTTTACAGCCTGTCAAAGTTGCAAAAAGTCAATTTTCAACTGTCAATATTTCCAAAACAGTTGAACTTAGGTATAGGGTATATCACATGAAATCTGCTCAGAATTTTACGTAGAATCCAAATATGCAATTTAATACGGGGTGTTCCATTTAAAATAGTGATGTTGCCACTAGTTTAGAGTAGAAGCGGCAACACCGCATGGTCAAAAATATTTTTAAAGTGTAGATCATGGTCGTTTATCCCGGTTGTCAAATTTTCAAAATGATCGGCTTTTTAGTTCTCCATAAACGTCTAATACGCTATCCACCGTGGGACATATATTATTATTTTGTTATTATCTATATCTTATACCTATGTAGTTATTTTTTTAGTACTAACTAAATTTGATTTGTGAACCAAAGATTAGAGATTATTTTTATTTTGTTCATTGTAGCGTTGATTGTACATAATTTATTTTATTTACGACTAATGTATAATGTGCGTATTATATTTGTGATTTTGGCAGTATAATGACATATATGTTATTCCTCCAGGGATTAATGACGAGTAGCGGGATTAATGGTCATTAATAGTCATTATTCCACAAAAGTGTCAGTGTCAAACGTGTAGTGCCTGTGGATTTGTATTGAAAATTATGAGACGGATGAAATTTGTTCATTGAAAATCTCAAATAAATTAATTTGTCGTAAATAAAGTAGAGTATACTACTCGCAATAATGGCTATTATTCCCTCGGAATGTTACTCCCTCGCCGCTAACGCGGCCCAGTTCGTAATAATCCTCGGGAATAATAGCTAACATTATTGACTCGTGGTATAATCTACTATTTGTCTTTCAATAAATAGTTAAATTGAAAAAAAAATTCAATAATGGGAGTTTAATTTTTTGCTTATGAATATAAAACTCTCCTCGCATCCTCTGGGCGTGATTCTCTTTTTCCAAAGCCCTAACCGAAATTAAAAAAGGAAAAAATATGCAATAATCATTATTTATCTATTATCCAATTGTTAGGTTATGTTATTTTATTTGAATAAATAAAAAATTCCCGCGTGCCAAAATTGTAACAGAAACCTGTTATTTTCCATTATCGTCAACAGTTCCTGACTGTTATTTAGAAATAACAGTTACAAAATAACAGATAGTTAAATAACAACCCATCTCTACGTGGGCATAGCGCATATTTTTTTTCATAGCCGAGCCGACTGGAAAACAAATAAAAAAAACTATTGCGTTTTCAAAACATGGATTATTTGATGGCTAAAATTTTGTTCAATATTTTAGCCGAAAGCCATACTTGCAAAGTTGTTAGATTCTCTGACCGTGAACTAGTTTATTTGTAAGCAAACCTCGTGGTAGAATAAGGAAGCCGACACTTGAAAAAAAATGGTAAGAAATTATTGCAAATTCATATGATGTAATGATGTAAAATCATTATTATTTATATTTTTTGAAATAAGGACAAGAACAAACAAAAATCTGCTAAAACCGGCGGCTCTGCTGGTGCTAATGCTGATTCAGAAGAAGAAGAACAAGACGAACCATCCTCTTCTTCAAACCAGAAGGTAAATTTATGTTTTTTATTTTTTTTTGTAAAGGAGGTTAATGTAAATAATGTTGGTGGTAAAACATTGTAATTACTTGCAAACCTACCAGGAGACACACCATGTCATGTCATCCATAATCATATTTATTAGGTATTTATTGGTTGGTAACTTTTGAACTTGTAACGGATATACAGAGGGTGTCTGTTAAATCGATAGGAATACAGTACACTCGCGCTAGTGTGAGTGAACACACGCTTCTGTCAACCTTCCAGTAGTATGGACAGCCGGAATGAATACATTATACAGTGTGTCCACTTAAGTTCGCAGCATATGGGAAACTATTTTATTATTAATTTTACGAAAAAAAAAGTTATTCTCTATAAAAGTTTCTGCTTTTTGAAAAAATAATATCAAACCATTAAAACTTGAAATAGCATTCACAGGGTGGTCAAAATATAGAAAAATATACAGGGTGTTTCCTAAGTATGGTTCCTAACTTCAGGATGTGATTCCTTAAAGTATTTTAAGAAAAAAAGTTCCCATAAACATGTGTCCGGAAATGCATAGTTTCTGAGGTACAGAGTGTCAAAGTTTTAGAAAAAAATCGTTTTTCCAGCTCAAAAATCCCTTTTTCAATTTTTTTTTTTCAAATTTGGCAGGTTTATTTGTCATAACGAAAGGTATCTTTTGACTGTCATGTGACTTGCTTAATCTGAAAAAAATATCAAAGGTTTAAAAATAAAGTAACCTAAAATCTGTTTTTTTTTTAAAGATAAAAGTCAAAATGACATTGTGTTGGCAATACAATGTAAAATTGTCAATGCTTTCAAATTTTTTATGTAGAAAAGGCTTGTGTTGCCAACATAGTTACTAAATTTTTGACTTGGGGAATTATCTTTAAAAAAAAAAAACCTGTATATTTTTCTATTTTTTGACCACCCTGCACAGGGTATTTGATTATATTTGGCACCATACCTACAGCCTTTACTATTTAAGATAGAAAAAAATTGTAAATACAAAACTTGACAGTTTTTTTCTATATTTTCTTTTAACGTTATCAGAAAAAACAAAATCGCATCGGAAAATGGAGAAACGAAGACAACTTCGACTTTTTTGAATGGAACACCCTGTATATTTTGCGATAAAATAAAAGATTACAAATATATATATGTTGATCATATTTGCATGAGCCATTTTTGACATATCTAAGCTCAAATTATAACTAAATTGCAAAGAAATTTTATAAACCTTGCGTTCGGTATTTTGCTCAAAGAGCAGAGCGTGCTGAGCGGAGCCGTAATCACGTGATCAGTGAGCGAACAGAGCAGTTGAACGCTGAATAAAAGTGCCAGAAATTTCAATAAACGAACGCGAATGAGGCTGCACCGAGTACACTTTTTAAATAAACGAACGGTAAAGTCAAGCTCGGAGAACTCGGACCAAAATAACGAACGCACGGAAAGATAGAGATCCTTATGGAACTTCTCTGCAAATTCTATATAATTCAACTTGAGATATGTCAAATATTGCTCAAGCAAATGTTATCAATATATATGTATATATATATAGTACAACGGTCGAAATTTGATCGTGGCGCCATCTAAGACAAAACTTCAACACCGATTAGACACTTAGTCACCATATTGCAGCGAAAATTGCTGCTTGGTGTTGAAGTTTGTCTTAGATGGCGCCACGATCAAATTTCGACCGTTGTACTATGTATATATTGCCTACAGGCACGAAACTTGGTTTGGTTTTCTTTGCTTTTCCTAGCCATACTGATGAGACCTGATAGGTCGAAACGCGTCTATGGATGGAAAAGCATAGAAAATCAAACCAAATATTTTCTATATATATATATATATATATATATATATATTGGAATCAGAAAGAATAGATCTTTCATTTTATCGCATAATATACAGGGTGGTCCATTAAAAAAGTCAAAGTTGCTTACGTTTCTCCATTTTCTGATACGATTTTGTTTTTTCTGATAACGTTATCAGAAAATACAGAAAAAAACTGTCAAGTTTTGTATTTAAATTTTTTTCCTATCTTAAATAGTAAAGGCTGTAGGTATGGTGCCAAATATAATCAAATACCCTACATGCTATTTGAAGTTTTACTATACTATTTTTTCAAGAAGCAGAAACTTTTATAAATAATAACTTTTTGAAATTGATAATTAAAAGTTTCCTATGTGCTGCGAACTTACGTGGACACACTGTATATTCTGTAGTGTGAATGAATGTGAACTTTTGAGAATCTCGATACTATGAACAATGTATTGGACCGCGAATTTAACCGTTTTCTGCCTACTTATTGTTTTCAATGGTTGTTTCCGTCCGATTCTGGGGCCTCAGAATGTTTCGAGACAAGGAATGCACAGATATTTATTTATTTATTTCAAATCAACAATATATAAATTCACAATAATTCATAACAAATGTGTTGTGAACATACAAATGAACCTAAAGGTTTGTGTGTGTATGCTCTAAGAAAAACTATATAGGTATGTAGGTATATTATTGGCTTAAGATTACTACAAGAAAGAAAAATAAATAATAATACGTTATTCTAAGTGAAATTATAATGTTGAAAATCACAATTATCATTACCTAATTCAATAGCGGAATAAGTATTAACTTATTCTCAGAGATCCAGGAGTTTATTTTCTTTTTGGATTTGTTATAACATTTAGTTTTAAATTCATTTGGAAGGACTTTATAGATCTTGAGAGCGACAAATGGATTATGCTTTTGAGTTCTAGTATAGTGCATTCTAGGTATAATAAGTTCACTGGCATTGCTTGTGGCAACATTTGTACTTTTGTAGGTTCTGAAGGTATCATATTTGACCATAAATCGATCTAAAATCTTGACAGTGAGCAATGGTAAGGAAAGCAGTTTAGCATCACTAAATAGGGTACTGGAGGAATAAAGTCCATCTTTAAATAAAATTATTTTTACTATGGTTTTTTTCTATCATATTCACTAGTTTGAGAGCTTTTTTAGACGAAACGCCCCATACAACCAATCCATATCCTAGGACAGATTCAACAAGAGAATGATACACCATTTTAATAGTTTTTTGCTTAAGGATTTGCCTAAGCTGTAGGAATTTATACAGGAGCTTTCTTAGCTTACTCGTTACATATTCAATATGTTTCTCATATTTTAAACATTGATCAATAGAAACTCCTGAATACCTTACACAATCTTTCCTCTTGAGTTTATTTGGACAGTTACATTCTCCTGTCAAAGCACATCCCACCATATGGACTGTCAGGCATTCCTGGGTTGGCTGAGTCGCCGCTGTCTTAATGAATGTGACAAAATTTGTCTTTTAAGGGTTAATAAACTTATATCCAACCACTGCTTAACATCATTAAAGGCTTTTTTAGCTTTTGTATATGTCTCATTCCAGGTGGCAGAACCGATCAACAACACCGTGTCATCAGCAAAGCAGATAACTTTTGCATGTTTTGTTATTTTAGTTATTTCATTTATGTAGATGGTAAAAAGGACAAGACCAAGGACCATTCCCTGTAGCACACCAAACTCCGCCGTAAATGCTTCACTAAGTTTATTCTCTATTCTGACTTTCTGAGGCCTTTCACTAAGCCAAGATTTGAATAGCTGTAAATATTTTCCTCTTACACCAACATCATCCAGTCGTTCCAACATTATCTGATGTGACACAATGCCTTGGCCAAAAATATTCCTATTGTTTTTAGGTTTTTGTCTAAATCATCCACAATTTGGTCTGTTACCTGACACAGTGCGTTCTCCGTCCCAACACCATCCTGAAACTCATACTCTTCAGGAGAAATTATTTTATGTTTTTGCAGAAAAGAGATAAGCCTTGATTTTATACATTTTTCGGTGATAGATCACTTTAGGTCCCTTTGATTTTCGATATGATTTTGATTATTACTGATAAATAAAGCAATTTCAAGATGGTTAGCGAGAAAAAAAATATGGATCCTTGAATATTTATCAAGTTATGATTTTTTTAATTTAATTTTTTTCTTGGTTTATTGTGCATCTTTGATAGGTATAGCGATATTAAGCTGATAAGAATAGATATTATTTTTTTTCATTGATAACCTATTTCACTTATTTACAGTACTCCTCAGCGTTAATCCAACATTCAAAAACGCGCGTGTTTTAAAGTTACCAATGACAACATCAACAACCAACAACCCGAGAAAGGTCTAAATGTCAACTTTTTAATTATTGATTTGTCAGGAGTAGGTTAGGTACTTGTAGATAACGTAAAATAAAATGTAACAAGTGTCAAGCACAAATTCAGCATTCTACAATTATTAGTAATTTATGATTTGAACGTATACCAATAAAAAAAAATAGTGTAAAGTATTCGTGGATAACTGGTCTTTAAAACACTTGCTCTATTTCGAGCACTCGGCTGCGCCGTCGTGCTCGAAAAATCGCGTGTTTTAAAGACCTTAATATCCACTTATACTTTAATATACTATATTGATCTGTGTCAAAGGTTGAGAAGCGAGAGGATATAAGGCATTAGTGACTAGTGATTTTTTACAATTAGTATTATTTTGTTCATTTATTTTGTTTACTTTAATAGATTTCTATTTCATGGCAAAATCAGCATACCACCTTGGTAAATATTTACAATATTTAATGTTTATGGAAAGGGTTTTTTTGAGGTTTTTTACTGATTTTATTGATTTTTTTACTGGTTTTTTACTGACATTTTGAAAATTCCTACCTAATTTGTGATTAGTTTCCTTAATTAACTTAGTAGTTGTCTATTAATGATCTGACAGTGCAATCTTTGCATTAAAGTAAATGGTCAACATTTTGAACAATGATTGTAAACCATAATTTATTTGTTAATAAATAAGCAAAATTAATAAGTAAACAAGGATTTGATTATTGCGAAGAATAAAAGTACCAAACAATTTTTTTGCTCTACAGCCCAAATGGCTCATTTGCGGACATATGTTTATATAAACAAAAATGCTTGTTTTTTGTTCT